TACTAAGTAACAGTCTAAACTTAGGTACTGTAAAGACTGCAATGTTTTATAGTCACACTTGAATAGTAAAATTGTTCAACTACCCAGTTTGATACACTTTTTCCTCACATGAAAATAATCACTTGGTTTTGACAGTAATAGGTTCCTTAGACTGGACTGCCTTGAAAATTGATTTCTTTAATGCTTTTTGCTACAGTGTGATCAAGGAAGTAGTGAAATATCTCGTACTTAATGATATTTGGAGGTTTTTTTAATAAGAAAAGCATGCTGTGTTGAATTTAAGTGCCTGTCCAGGGAGTTACTGCAGGATGTGCTTGACTTTAGGTACGTCAGTACCTCCTTGATATGGCTCATGATGTTATTGTAAGTTAAGTCTTTGTAACGAAAACCGAGTCACAGTATAGGAAAATATTTAAGAAGGTACAAGTGCCTTAATGCATGACTGTAAAAATATTGAGAATTCCATTTCTTTGGATGCTGAAATCTATATCAGGGAATATTTTAGATCTAGGACTCAAATCTGCAGATGAGAATCCTAGATTGTAAGGTTTGTCTTAAAATGGTTCTCAGTCTTTTCTGATAGAAGAGCATAGATTTTCTGGTAATATTAAAAAATCTTTTGGGGTGAAGAATGTTGATGGTAAGAATTTTGAGGGGAAATTACTCTTTTTTTTTTTTCATTTCCAGTTAGTTTGAATACTAGTCTGACTTTTCTTGCTTTTTAACAATTTCCATGTTATTTTTTCTTTAGTCTGTACACCTTTAAACACTACTGCACTGTACTACAGTAATTTATTCTCCAGCTTTTCCCTGATATCTACAAAGTGTCAGCTATTATTTTCAGCAGATGGAATGAAGGCAGATGTTTCCATTGATCCAGATTTTTGCCATTCCAATGAGTTTTCCTGGATAGCTTGCCTTTATTTTTGGCCATTGAAATTCAGTTATCTTTCCTAGTAATCCAGGAGAATACACTCTGGTTTTGTTACTTATATCACTAACCATTTTGTTTATACAGGACTGCTGCTGCCTATGGTTTTTCCTTCAGTTGTGCTTCCATAAGCATGTCCAAGAACCATTTTTCTTCAGCTGGCATTATGCTTCAACTTAGTTCATTAAATCCAGCTTTCTACATGTGTGAATACGATACAAATAATTTCCTTTGTCTTCTTCCTCCTAAACTTTTGTGTACATCTTCCATTTTATGAGCAACATAGCTGCTAACATCTTTCATCTTCCTAATCATCCCCATCGCTGTTCCTCTACATTACCTGCTTTCTGTGCCATCATATCAAATTCAGTATTCTTTTTCCATCTTCAGTACAATTCACCACTACTTCATTAGTTCAGTCATGTTTCTTCTGATATCTTACCCTCTTTTCTTTTTCCCTTTGGCATAGTATGTTTGTACACTTAGACATTTCATCTGTTCTTTTTCATACCAATGCAACCACATCATCCACATTCCATTTCATGTTTAGCTTCTGCTATGATGCCTACAAGGGAAAAGACAGTGAATGCTTATTAATTTATAGGACAATGTGTTTAGGCATTTTGTCTAAAACACTACTTTTTTTGTTATTATCTTTTTCCCCCTCCATGTTTTGTGCAGTATTTCCTTCAGATTGTGAGCTTTTGGAGACGGAATCTGGTCCTAAATATGTACTCAGAAATCATGCACAATATCACATCTAACATCATAAGTTTAAAAAAACTTGAATATTATTGATAACAATGGGTTTCCTGGTGGATATTTGGTGTATTTTATTATTAAGGACAACAGGAAAACAACCATGCAAACCTGAAATATAAAATGTTATTTATTAATGTTTTAATCGGTTCAGAATAACCAATGCTTCAATTTACTGTGCTTCAGTTTTCTCTGTGCTTGTGTATGTAAGTTCAAGTACACGATCTTAAGGATGTAATGCTCAGGGGTTGCTTTTCTTAATGTCTTATGTAGGGAAAACAACAAAGTGAGGCAGGGTCACTGTTAGGTTTTTTTATATTCTTTATGAGAAAAAGGGAAAGTTGTACATGATGTAACAAACTGAGAATGAGAAAGGTTTGACACTGTGGAAGAACAATTCAGCAATAACCAAAGCATTGATTATGAGCGCTGTTTTAGCCAAAAATCCAAAGCACAGCATGACACAGACTGCTATGAGGAAGCAAACTCCATCCCAGTCAGTCCCAGTACCTGAACTTAGCATTTACTTATTTTAAGTTAGTACTGGAATAGTTCATTCGAGTCTGTTTTTACATTTGAATAAAATCAAATCACACCAAAATGATAATTTGAGTATTAGTTGCCTGGAAAACCTGAACTTTATGGAGTTTATTTGGAAGATTAGCAAAAGGACCTTCCTCTGATTAATCTTTTTAATACTAATAATTTTTAATCAAGTTATTTTACTTGTGAAAACCCTTAAATTTTTCTTTGTAACAGTATAGTTTTTACTCAATGAAACAAGAAACTCTTCTTATTCCAACCACTGTTTAAACTTGATGGGGAGTTATTGATGAAAAAAGTGTAGTGGGCAGTGATTCTTTGAATGGGGCAAGCCTCATTAAGCATGTAATAGTAGTAGTACATCTGACTACTTTCTTTATTTTACTATTCAGCCTTATTTCATATCAGTCATAACACACTGCAGGAAGTTATTGTCTGGAAGATTATTGCATTTATCAAACAGTTGAGGTTAAAGTCACCCTATTCCAGTTTTATAATACCATTTGTGACTTATGCCTCAGAATGTAGTGTCTGTCTTCTCTTATCAAATAATGTAATTTTACAGAAACTGGAGTGCTTCTGTCTGTGCAGACTCTGTATTCAGTCTGTTGGACTCTAATAAATGGATATCTCATTCCTGAAGAACTAAAGAATGAGGGCTTAGAAATGTCACTTAGAAAAGGGAAAGCCTTTATGGACAGAGTAAGCTCTCTCATTAGTTTGTTTCTGAGACTCTGGCAGTTTAATCTTGCTTTACAAATTAACTTCCTACTGTTGAAAATAGACAGAGAGAATATGATAAATACCAAAAAGTAGTGAATTAATTTTTGCACTTTAGGTCCCTATCAGTAACATAATAACAGTATCACTTAATATAAAGCTACTGAAAGTATTTTGAAAATTAATTAATAGTTGTGAAGAACTGTGTAACTTCAGTAACAAACACTTATGACAACAGAAATCGAGAAGAAAATGGAAAGTGCTGTATTCAAAGCAGAGTTTTAGCAGAGTACAATAACTGTGGAACAAAGACAATAATGAGGTGAAAGCAAAGTAGTGAGTAGCTGCTAATTGAGAGTATTGCCAGCCTGGGGTGGAATTAGCTGAGATTCAGGAAGATAAATATAATATAAAATTATAAAATTTTGTCATATGCATACTTGCAAGATGGAACATGGAAATTTTCTAGGCAACTTTAATTTCAGCATTTCTAGTTTTCTGAAAGCTTGACTTTGTGTTTTTGTATATTTTGGGCTTTGGGATTCTTTCACTTCCTCCTCCTCTCTCCCCCATTTTTATTGTGAATATTATTTTGTGCCTGTCAGTTAGAAATATGCCACAGAAGCAGATAAAACAACGTATTGAACTTTCCTTTTCAGTTAGAAAATCTGTTTATGTCCAAATCAACATATGAGTATCTAATTCTTGTTAAGTATTCGTTGCCAAAAATGCATGTGTTTTGTATTTTCTCAGATTATCTTTTCCCATTGCAATTTTATATTCTATTACTATAGAATTGGGCAAATTAAGAGTTAATTGTTTTTAATGCAGACTGCATATTTGAAAAAAAATTCTAATTTATCTTACTTCCTTTTCAAAACCAGGCATCACTATCTCATATTACACTCTGTATTAGAAAGCCTACAAATGCCTGAGAGGTTTATGTGAAATTATTTGTATAAACATCTTATAGCTTGTTTCCAGGAAAATACTGTAACATATAACATCCCTTTTTTAAGAAGCATTATTTGACAATTCAGCTATAGCAGCTGGGGACACTGTTACCCAACTGTTTATGGTTGCCCAGCAAGCAGAGTCTACTTATTTCACAGTTCAGCCAGCAGAGTAGAAGTGCAAGTTCTCACTGTTCCACTACACTAGAGTCAACAATGGCTTCAAAATACGTAATTAGCAATTAGGTTAAATTTGCTAATTTTGCACTTAGGTGGATCAAGTTGAATTCCTCTGGCTGTACCCTGAAGAATTATGTTTCTGTCAGGAATAAAATATATTACAAGATTCTAGGAATAAAAAGTCTTGAATTTCTATCAGTGTGGAAAATGATTCTGTCTCTTGAGTATCAATCAGGTTTCATTGTTTTTTTCTGTAAGAATGGAAGCCTTATACCACTTTTCTCTGTTTATATTTTACTGAACATCGAATCATGTGGTTTGCTTGTTTCATCCAGGCTTTTACAGTGGTGCCTTTCCTATTCATATAAATAAAAGCAAACAATTAAAAACAGTCCTCAGAATTTTTGAAGTTGTTCTTTTCATCAGCAACATGCTCTCAGTAGTGATGAGCAACTGCTAAAACCCTTTTTCTTTCTTCTACATGATACTTTCTTATGTATTTTAATTTCTGGGAAAAGCAAAAATAGGATTCAAGATATAACAACAAATAGATTTATATATATTAGAGAAAGTTAACTACTTCTTTTACTTAGCAATTATAAAATTCAGGATTTAGTTTCATCTCTACAATAAAGGGAATACTGATGATCTACAGTTGTACCCTTGCATTAGGTGCAGCCAAGGAATAATGTAGGCAGGTCACCATCAGGTTGCACAGTTAAATACTTCCATCCTAGGTGAAGCTTTGGCTATAACTGTGCCCATCTACCTCCTGTCCAAGATCACAAGGAGAGATGGAGACTGTGAAATAGCACTCATTGTTTTTAGGTGTTAGGTCAGCTACTGTGTTCTTTTTAGCTTTTTCTGGATAAGGTTATTTCCTAAAGTGAATATATATATATTATTGATTGTAGGATGGAATGGGAAATTTGAGAGTCACTAAAAAAGGAATACGACTTGAAGGAATATCTGAATTTCTACTTCCACTATATGTGAAAGAAATCCATTCCCGGAAGGTAGGTGTTTTTCATCTTTATTTCTTAATTTACAGCTAATATAAATTGATCTTCTCAATCTCAAACTACAAAGTTTAATTCTTTCACCTCCTAGATTAGCAATCAGTAGAGGTTTGCTTTGAGAGTGCCTTAAGAGTGAAAGCTTCCTTCATGTCAAAAATTATTTTTTTTTTCTGAAACCCTGTTTGTCTCTTAAAAGAAATGTCTTATCCTAGTGAAAGGAGATTCAAAGCATGTATATTTTATACTTCAAATTACCTCAGCACTGGGAATGGAACAGTTGAGTCTTCATTTGATGTGAACTCCAGAAAAACAAGACTGGTGATAAGTGCAAAATGCAGTGAAATAAGGAATGGTTTTGTGTTTTTCTGGTATTAGACGTAATGATTTCTTTTTCAGTCCCTTTTTTATTTTAATTTTTGTTTTCTTTTACTCATTAGGTAGGGGCAAGCTTTCTATACTGAGTAATGCTTTTTTCAAAGCAAACCCTTTTTAATATTGTTTAAATGTAATTGTTTTATCACATAACAGCAGGTTATTACAGAGGAAAAAAGAAAACCAAGTTATTATGTATTAAGAAATTCAGTGTAGATCCTTTTAAATCTTGTTTTGATTTAGTTATGCTGTTTGTATTAACATTGTCAATGAAATAAAAAAAAAAAATTTTGAAATACTGGAAATCTCTGAAGTTTTTTTTACCATGCAAGTGATGACCTATGATCACAGAGAAAGGTTACAATGGTTTTCAGTTAACCATCTGCAAAGAATTTTAATATGCATACTGCAAAAGTTGACAGGAATCAAAACTATGTTGACCCTAAATGCCTTTGTGACAAATTTTGTTGTTTAAAACCTGTCTTCTATGTATATGAGGAAAGTCTCAAGTATGTTAATAAATGAGATTGTGACAGTTTCCCGTTTCTCTTAATGAGTTCACTCTTGTGTTAAGAAATCTGTGAGGTAGTCTCTTTCTCTTCTTTTTCTGTAAAACTAAGTTCTTTCAGTGTTTAAGAGAGTAGTAGTATTGTCCTATTTAATGAAACTTTTATAATATTTAAGTACCCTTCCAGGCAAGCATACTTTTCCTTCAAGGTTGAAGAACATTAGTCACGACGTGTATTTTTCCCATTTCTTTTCTGTGAGTGGACGATGTGTGCTCTATTGTTCCATGCCCTATTATTGTACATGAGAATGTATTCCTGGGTTTATTAATCTATTTCATTCTCACATACCATACTTAAAAGCCAAAGAAAATCAAGTTATCTTTTTGTTAAATTGTTTCCATTATATAAAAAGAAGTTAGTCATTGTCCATTAAACTAGAGGGAATTGCTTTCATTTTTTTGCATAAAAAATATATTTTTCTAAAATAAGCATGTGTTTTCCAGAGATATCCTTAGAGAACAGTGAATTTATTAATTCAGTTAAAATTCATGGTAAAATGTCTAGAAAACAAGAAATAGAGAATACGTATAAATTTCTAACTGAACAGAGGAAACTCTGAAAACTGTCTATATATCTTGTATTCTAAAATGTATGTGAACTAAGAAATTGTAGGTGAGTTTCAAAGCTAGACTTCTTTCAGGTACTTGTTCTCTCCAGATTTTCACTGTGGAGACTGAATATCCTTGTAAATTCTTAGAAAGCTTTATTTTACTTTGTTTTATTTCCAAACCTGGATCTATCTTCATAAAAGCAAATCTACAGTATATTTCTTTCTTCACTATCTCTCTTAAGTGTGTATAATCATCAACATAGAATTAACCTTTTCTGATTTCAACCAGCACATCATACATATTTAGGCTTATGTTTGTGCCTTAGGTGCCTTTGTGAGAATCTCAAATTTATTTTTTTTTGAGACAATGTCTTTGTTGAGCTTCTCTTTCTGATGGAATTACAAAGATGCAGCATAGGAGATCACATCAAAAAGCCTTTATGAAGTTGGGGAAGAACATACATTCATCTTGTCGATTGAGCCAGTCTTCTCTTTTTGCAAGACCACCAGATCAGGTGCTCCTTCCCGTTACTAACCTCATGCTTGTTTTGTACCAACTGCCTTCTTTCCCTGGCTACTTTGTAATGGTTTTCAGGGGGCTCTCCTCCACAATCTTGCTAGGAACTGGTATGAGACTGACTGGGCTGTAGTTTCCAAAGTCTTCCCTCATTGTGAGATGTTACTACACTCTTTAAGGGCCTGAAAGCGTGCTGTATTTGTTGACTGAACATATTCCCCCACCCTCCATTTAAACATGTTCTTCTAAAATTTCAAGGCCAGGTTTGCTATATCCTCTCTCTTTTCTGCTCTGTAAGATACACCACTGCCATGCAGCCAAACTAGTTTGAGAATCATGCAGTCCTACTACTACTGACATATATATGTATCAGAGAAACTCCATTTAGGAGATGTCACTGCTCACCCTTTTTGTAATATCAAAAAAATCACAATGGTATCTAAGAATCTGCCGTTGTTATTGCTCAGTGTGAAGTGCAATACGTGTTTCTGTAGCTACATGTCACAATCTGCTCAGATAAAACTTGAAATGCTCCCCAGTTCATTTTTGTACCTGCTCTTCAAGCCTTGCCCTTAGGATCACTCACCTGTCACTAAGCATAAAGCCATTATTGTCCTGGTTTCAAAAACCCAGATAGGCGTAGAGGACTCCTTAAGTCATTTTGGCTATCAACACGATGTAGTTCCAATAGTGTCACTTTTATTGGTTATGAACAAGATATAAGGTTTTCTTCATTACAAATTTTGCGAAGGGACAAGTCACTCCTATGTTTGTTGGTGGTCTCTGGAGGAACTACCACCGAAATTGAGTTGGCTTTGCTTGTCTTCACTGACAGCTGATAAGAACTTCCATGATTCATGATTTTGTCCTTGATTTGCGATACTTCAATGAAATCTGTCTGAGGGTCATCCAATTGAACAACTCTATTTTTGAACATGTTTTTTCATGTCAGCCTATACTCTTGTTATTATTACTGTGACTTGTTGCTCAGTTAAGGATGATCTCTGCTTTTTATACTGAAAATTCTGAGTTAATATTACCCAAGTCTTTTCCTTTAGTTGATTATAGCTCATGAATAAAGTTCCGTGGCCTATATCTACCCTATGTTATACCAGCCTGAGGAACTGAATTTGGTTTGGGAACACTCTTCAGAAGGATGTGGAAAAGTTAATGAAGTAGTATCTGTTTTTCTGGGAGTTGGTTGTTGTTGTTTTTTGATATCAGTTTTAGTTTCAGTTTAACAAGTACTTCCTTCATGTAATATGTCAGTGGGGAAAACTTCAATGAAACCATGTGACATTTCAGTTTGATGTTCATTATGTTCACTGATCTTCATGCACAGTGTATTTGGTTTGAGCTGTTTTAACTGTATAGGCTTCTTAAGCTGAGGAATGACATTTTTTTCCCTGAACAACTTTGAAATAATGTAGTTGCATATTACACAGACTAAGAAATTACTTAAAGAAATCTTTTGTTTAAATGTTTAAAATGAAGAAAAAAAATTATTAGCATTTCCATAGAAATAATGTAAAATAATGTAAGAGGAGATGACTTACAAGTGATTTGTAAAGCAGAAGAATCTATGTCTGTCTTTATCTCTTCGTGCAGGAATTTGGTCATATTTTTTCATGGAAAACATTTATCTTTTGCATCCCATTTTATAAACGTAAGGTGCACCACAGTTTTTGCTCACTTAGAAGTATGAATGCACAGGTAAAACTGAGGGGGAAAAATGGGAGTCACTGCAGGGGAAAAATATCCATGTAAGCCATCAAGTACAAACAAAAGTAGATTAATGTAATTTGATCTCCCCCAGATAGTGATAGCTTTTTAGCCCTGGCTTAAGGGCTGCTGCTTGTATTTCTTACAAGTTGGGCTGTGCACTACCCTCACTTGTAGGCCTTTGGTAGGCAAAGACATATTTTCACAAAAACCATTGTAAACAGTGTGTGTTAAGTTAGGAGATCTACTTCATATTCAAAGACTCAGTGTATTAACAACAAAGAATATTCATGTAATAAAATAAAAAAAAAACCAGCTTCTAATGCTGTTGGAAGTTGTCAGCATGGATCTCTGAAGGAGAGATCATGCCTACCCAAGCTGACAGCCTTCTACAACAAAGTATCTGGCTTGGTGGATGAGGACAGCTAATATTGCCTTTAGCAAGGCTTTTTACCATGTCTCCCATTATATTTTCTTAGGCAAGCTGATGATTTACACTCAAAAGCGACAGTGAAGTGGCCTGAAAACTGGCTAAGCTGCTGGGCTCGAAGAGTTGTGACCAGTGAGGCCAGTTGCTAGTGGTCTACTCAGGGGGTCGGTACTGAGGAAAGTGTTGATAAATTTCTTCATTAATGACCTGGACTTTGACAGAATACTCTCAGAAAATTTGCATATGATACAAAACTAGGAGGAGGAGTGTACAAACAAGTTACTTCCAGAAGCAAAAGAGGATAAGAAAAAAATAATGAAAACATTTCAGTTTCAACTGTTCAGAATTTTAATTATTTCCAGCTCACTCTTTTTTGTTTTCTGTTTTGTATCAGGTGAATCTCAAAAGTATTGAGGGTAATAATCAAATCACAACTTCAAAGATAATACTTCAAAAATTATTATAAGGAGGGTTCTCAAGGAATTCATTCTGTAACAGAAATTGGTGTTCTGAAGTTTGAATGTGTAATTTCCAGAAATGCAACTTAACTTCAAAAATTAATTTTACCCATTAGATATAGAAAAATTTATTTCTTATCTTGAAATAAACCAGAATTATTACAATCCTCTTTTACTTAGTTTTGCTTTCAGTATACTTTGTGACTTGTATGATGTTTCTCACTTTAAAAAGCGTTTTCAATGTAATCATATGAAGTAGACAAGGCATTCATAATCTAGAAAAGTAATTTCAGTAAAGTTCCTGAAATTTCCCAAACTTAAAATCTGTTTGTTACAAACCAGAGGTGTGAAGTTCTGAAGCAATTTTCATTTTGATTAC